ACCTTTTTTGTTCAAAAAAGTCCAATATTTCATAATTTGTTACTAAAAGCTGTATACGGGGGTTGGCAAAAAAGTTACTACATATTCAATGCATGACGTTGCCTGCAGAGGACGCCTCGTACTCAACACTCAAAAATCATTATCATATTATTTTTCCCATCATTAAAAAACTTCTCTGTTGAAAATTTGAAACATTTCTGACTAAAATTATAGAAATTATTAAGGAAAAATCATTTTTTATTTTTCACTTTGACACCCTGTATCTTTTTTATTATGCGACTTAGGATATAGGTATGTTAGTAAATCGACTTATTTTCACCCAAGGAATATCTGGTATCATTTATGCCCCTCCATTTAAATACACCCTGTAGATACGTACATATCTATATTATATCAATCTATGACGTACATTCACCAATAATTCGATTTGAATGCTTTTGATTTTGAAATGTAATACACCACATTTGCATTAACAATAAGCACAGAAAGACCATTCGCCATTCTTTAAAGCAAGTACACCAAAAAATATTTGCAAAAAAAATTATTACAAAACCCTGTAACACTACCTACGATTTTGTTATAAATGGTTTGAGTACCAAAAAAAATTGGTGATAAAATTCTGAATATTAATGTGAATATTACCTAAATAGTAAAATTGATCTCCAGAACAGATAAAATAGAATAATCTTTTTTTTTCATACTTATGGTATACCTAATTTTATACCTACTGCGATCATACGTTCGATATTCAATAACTGAGAATTGATTACTGCATATAGAATAAATAGGTATAGATACAGATTAGATTATCACGTTGGCACTTAAATTCAAGATAAGACTACATCATTTTTAATTTGCTCAGGCTACGGTATAATTTACTTATTACGACAAAATCACGATGACCTTGTATTGTATTGTGTAACAATAATGAACGGACTAACTCGCACGGCGTCATTAAAAAAAAACATGCAATACAGTGTTTTAATTCCGTCCGCATTTTGAACAAGACGAGACGCGACGTGTTGCGCTGTGTCGTGCCGTATGAGATGAGTAAACAACCAGCCTCAAGGGTAACTTCATATTATTTTTAAAAATGTACAAAGTGCCTACATCGGTATTATATAAAAAAAATAATTCAGAATATTTTAGTGATGATATTTCATTACTTGTTTGTAACATATATCTATCTGTTTACGTAGTTATAAAGTATTGCTTAAAATCGGAATATTTAAAAAAACGTTCATGCTACTTCTCGACATGGGGTCATATTTGTTATCAGAGATCAGAGTTGAACGCATTTCTTTCAATAACTTAGTTGGACGACTAGTTTGAAATCTTGCACACTTATTTCTTTATATCGAATGTTTCGAATCTGACATAAATTCAAAGGCATATCTCGAAATCGCATCTTTTTCTCGTACAAGGTATTTAATAATGTATACAAAATATGTTTTTATTTCAACACAAATCAAACAACTTCCATGTTTATTTAGCAATAACTCATGAAAAAATGATTTCACATAGGTACCTACTGTCTGGCAAAAGTAGACTTCGGATGCTAATGGCGATTTTCCACTAAACGGACAGTTGAGTTTATGTCCTGTTTGTGTTTTTTAGAACCTGAAAAACAGAAACAAAACTGAAACAAACCCAAAACTCTTGTTTCCATCAAGCGGACTACGTTTTGTTCGAGTTTTGTTTTTGTTTTCGGTCCTTTTCCACTGATTGTCGCGAGGAAGTCAGAACACATTTTTCCAATAACCAACCAACATATTTAGAGAAGATTTTTTTATTCTTAGTTATGGATGGTTTATACTGAAGTCCTTGGAGAAAAAGTAAGTGTATACAGTGTCCCACCTCGAACTCCATTGATAGATATCTGGGAAACCGCTCGAATGATTTTTTTTGAAATCGTGATGGTGTGATACGGACCGTGGGGCCCACCAAGTTAAAATTTTTTCAAGGTCATCGTACTTCCGGTTATACCGGAAGTCGATACTTTCTTATTTTAAACGGAACCCCCTGTATATTATTGCATTTTTGGAAACAGCATCCATTTTTAAATTGAAAACATATAGCACACTCCATACTTAGGATTGACCGTTTCCGAAATATTTTGATTATAAACAGAAATTGACAGATGCAGACTGTCGGCAAAATTTAGTTTTCCCGGTTTATTTTTTTGTGCAAATTGGACATTTTGTAGAGGAAGACCTAATTTATCGAATTTGACATGAAAATTTTCCAGTTTTTATACAGGGTGGTCAAAAAAAAATTTATCGAATATGAAGTTCAGAAAATGTGGAAAACTCTAAATTTTTAAATGGAAACCCCTAATTTTTTTGCAATAATATACAGGAGGTTCCATTTAAAATAAGAAAGTTAGTATCGACTTCCGGTATAACGGGAAATACCATGACCTTTGAAAATATTTTAGCTTGGTAGGCCCCACGGTCCGTATCACACCATCACAATTTCAAAAGAATCCTTCGAGCGGTTTCCCACATATCCATCGATGGAGTTCGTGGTACATGTACGGTTAAAGTGTTTACTTGGTTAGTTAGTTACTTTGTATCCTAGCCAAGTAAACACTTTAACCATACACATATATATATTTTTTAATAGCTATAATTCATTAAAGATTAAAATATTGTTTTTGGGAAGAAGAAAACGCCAACTAAGATATTGGGTTGGATCACTTAAATAGAAAACACAACACGACCGTTTCCACTAAACAGACTTTTGAGTTTCGAAACACGTCGAAACCTTTTGATGTGACCGCTTTCGAGCGGGACCCGAAAAACAAAACTCCAACTGTCGCAAAACACGCCAGTCTTCAAAAAGTTTGCGAAAAGTTAGTTTTGTTTTATTCGACACAAGTTTGTGTTTTGTTTTTGTTTTGTCCGTTTAGTGGAAACCCGCCTTAATTTGTCCCATAAAGAAACCGCCCGTTTTAATAAATACTAATAACACTATGTGCAAAACTTACTTTAAATTGTCACAATGTACCTAAATTTTAAGTGTACCTACCTGAACCTTTTTAATGAGTTGATACCTGCTTATCAGCTATAATATTTTTGTGCCACACTGTATCTCAGTTGCATGTAAATAATTGGAATTAAATTACTAAATATATTTTAAGATAATTTAAAATTTTAAGTGGAATATTTATCTCGGAAAAACACAGCATTTCTTTTCAATTGAGGAATGAGTATCTACTTATTCGTTTGCGATTTATACCAGTTTTATCTTTCCTCAACTTATTTTGTATTTACAATAAGAAATACTTACAAGTAGTTATAATATTTACAAATAAAGTGTTATCAAAAATATATTGATTTAGTTTAATTTATTAAACATATTTTTCAATAGATTTGTCACCTTCGGGCATGGATCCTTTTTTAAAATTCAGTGCTGTTTATTCTACCAATCAGGAAACTTTAATTGCTCAGGAGTTTGGCAGGCTGAAAGGTAAATAAGGTAACTATATCATTATATATTAAACAAATAATTTTATTTATGAAAATAAAATTGTAAGTTATTTTTTATTATATTTTGTTGTTTTTTTTTCGAAAAATTAGTAACCACCAGAAAATAATGTACCTATTACTGTTTGTTGTAGGCACCTATTACCTAGATCATGCCGGAGCTACATTATATTCAGAACAACAACTTCAGAATATATTACAGGACTTATCAAAAAATGTTTATTCAAACCCCCATGCTAACAACGTTACCAGCAAATTTACAGAAGATGCCATCGACATAGTTCGATATCGGTAACAATGTGTTGATCTATTAAGTACCATAAGTTATATATTTCTTATTTTAGGATTTTAGAACATTTCAACACTAGTAATGAAGAATATACAGTAATATTTGTCTCAAGCACTACAGCCGCTTTAAAAACGATAGCAGAATATTTCGATTATGGCAAAAAAGCAGGTACTTTGGTACATTTAGAAAACAACCACACATCAGTATTAGGAATGAGAAACTACGCTACAAACTCATCAGAAATAAAGACTGAACAAGCAATGTACACTTTATCATGTTACGATAATGGCAGCACTCACTCTAACTCAGCAAATACCGACAGTAACAGTCTCTTTGTTTTTCCTGCCCAGTGTAACTTTTCTGGGAGCAAATACCCCTTAAGTTGGATCGATAAAGTAAAAAATGGTGCTTTGAACAGTTTCATTAAAGAAAAAAGTACGAATTGGTATGTGGTTCTTGATGCCGCAAGTTACATATCGACAAATAACTTAGACTTAAATAAGTACAAACCAGATTTCGTTCCAATATCTTTCTACAAAATGTTTGGATATCCAACTGGAATAGGAGCTCTGTTAGTGAAGAAAACAAGTGAAAATCTATTGGTCAAGAAATATTTTGGAGGTGGCACAATATTTATGGCACTTAGTTCGAAAAATGTAATGGTACCTCGAAGTAGCATGCAAGAAAGGTAAATATGTAATTAATCTCATTCTAGAATGATATATTTTTAAATATCATAATAAAATAAACAAAAATAACCATTGTAATCATTATTCACATATTGCAACACAATAGCACATAACAGCACAACACCAAAACAGTAGATGCCATCGACACACATTTATGAAGAGATTAAAATATGTAAAAGCTTTCCATATACTTTATCTTTTGTCTATCAAAAAAAGATAGGTCACTCGTATATTTTTGTAAATTATTCTACTTCAGCATTGTATTATTCATAATACAATGCTTAATATTCATATGTTCTTATAGGTTTGAAGATGGAACGTTACCATTTTTGTCAATTTTAGCGATTAAACATGGCTTTGATACAATAAACAGGTTGAATTTAAACTTTGACCTTATATCTCAACACACTTTTTCTTTGGCACAATATGTATACAGAAATTTGTTACTGATGCATCATTCCAATGGAAATCCGGTTGTAGTATTGTACCATGACACAGTATTCAGCAATCGAGATCATCAAGGCGGTATAGTCAACTTCAATTTACTGAGACCAAATGGAGATTTTATTGGATACTCTGAGGTAATGACTTTATTTCATTTCTCCCATTATTGCAACAATAAATATATTTCATATATATTTTACGAAACTGCAGTGATCATGGTTTTAAAAAAATTTATGTAATTAATAATATTTCCGTTTTAAAATTATTAAATCAAACATAATTATGATTTAAAAATTATAATTTTTTTGTTTATTGGTAAATATATGATTTATATTCCAGCGAATAGTTACAATTTTTACATTACAGTTATATCTGGATTGAGTTATTCATGCATGCAAAAGCATAAAAAAATTGATTTCATAAAAAATCAACATTTTTACCCAAAATGAATTTTTTTCAAGTGGATTTAAAAATAATTAATTCCCACAATTATAACATTCTTCGGATAAAAATAAGCAAAATGTTTAAAAAAAAATCTATTTCTTTATTAATGATATAATGAGAACCCATATTGTTAATTTCACCTAATTTTATAGAGTAATACCATTGTATAATTATACAATGGTAATACCAGTTACACAATTTACTTCAAAATCTAAGAAAATTTGAAAATTTAAAAAGAGTAATTTTATATCATAAATGTCACTTTAATAAGGTATGCATTAATATTTTTTTTCTTCAAACGTCATATACTCGTAAGTGACAACTTATGTGATGTTACTCGATAATATTAAGTGTCATTTATATGGCAAGGAGTATAAGTATTTATACTCCTAAGCGTGTAAACACATTATAGTACTACGAATTCAATTTTAATAATGAACATTTATTTTTTTTATATTCATTATTTATTATAATTAATATTTATAGTAAAAATACAATTGTGAAAATTTGCACCATTTAGGAATCCTCCACTTCTTGCAATATCAGTTCTTGCAATATCAGTACTCATGACAATATTTCTAGGGTCGACTGCTTTTAAAGATCCATTGCTTGTAGTGGACCCATTAAATGAAAATAATTGTTCAACCTTGTCCGCAGAGCTAGAAAAAAATTGTTGTATTTTTTATGTTCACATTAAGCCTCAAACGTAACACACACTACCATTGAATAATGAGCCCACAAACTAGAACTCTTCAGTTTTTGTGCCATTTCCGAAAAGTATGCCAATGAAACATTCTCAGGGTATTACGTTACATTTTTTCCAGTTCACCATTTCTCGAACTTGACAAAGGCAGCTTCGTATACTGCTCCAGATTTCGTCAGCAGCAAATTTTTTACAGCCATTCTAGTCGACCCTACCACCTCGGGAGTTTCATCAGCCACTTCTACACTCATTTTCAGTCCTTAGTCACTGTCAATCGACGTGACGTCAAATTTTAAATATTTGTTTTGATAGATACAAGTACGTATCTATGGTAACGATAAGTAAAGGTATACAGGGTGATTCACAACTTATCCAAAAAAATTTGGGAATAGATGCGGCATGAAAAATTGAGTCAATATCGAAAAAAAATTTTTGTAAAATACTTATAGTTTCTGAGAAAAAAATTATTGAAGTTGTAGTATTTTAAAGCCTTACACAGCTGGGCTATGGTAGTCTCTAGCATCATTCGTGTTGTGCGCTGTATGCAATTTGCTTTCTCTCTCCACATAGCCCCAGTCAATTCCGATTTTAGTAGGTAGATACTTAATGGATGACATAATAAACAAACTGAAAATTATATATATCTATATGAAAATAAACTAAGAGGTCGTAATATTCAAACCCACTATACTCATATTTACAACTATTTACAGAGGTGTTACTTTTTCAAAATGCCTCTATAAGTACTCTAATTTAATTAAACAATATAAGCAATAAATTATATAATTATTCCATTAAGGGAAATTAGTCTAAATTGTAAAAATAAATATTTAATATAGCTATGAATTTTGTCAAATAATAAGAGTTTAATTTGACTAGAATGCTCTCAAAAACCCTTAGCGTAAACTTAAATAAATAAATTATGGACAAATGAGATAAAACTATATTAACAATATCATTAATTAATATTGTTAATTTGTTAACTTTTTTTAAGGTGTCACACATGTCAAATTTGCATGGGATTCAAATAAGAACGGGATGCTCTTGTAATCCTGGAGCTTGCCAACGTTTCTTAAAACTGAGTACAGACGATGTTAAGAAACACTTTGATGTAAGTATACATAAATGCAATTTTGGTAATAATGATATAAAATACTAGATCAACACAGTAATGGCGAAAATATTATTTTATTTTTATTTTAAATATGTATGGAATTGGAAACAAAAACTGCAGATGATTTTTTTATAGATCTATTGAAACGATTATATATCTTATTTTTTAAGCAATTTATAACTTTTTGTTTAAAATATTTTAGGCTGGTCATGTTTGTGGAGACCAACATGACTTGGTCGACAATTACCCTACAGGATCTGTTAGAATTTCATTTGGATACATGACCACCCAGGAAGATGCAGATAAATTATTAAATATGATTGAAAATTGTTTTATATCTCAGCCTGTAATAAGAAAGTTACCACGTACCTGGCATAATATGCAAACGGCTTATGAGAAATTATATTTAGGAAAATCTGAAACTGAAAATGAAACTGAAACCAAAATACTATCAAAAAGCAATCTCAGTGCGTGTATATCAAATCACAATACAGACTGTTATAAGGAAGCTCCTGTAGGCAAATTACAGCAGATTCTTGTTTATCCCATAAAATCATGTGGTGCTTTTTCTGCTGAAAACAATTGGATTATAACTTCGAAAGGTTTGAAATATGATAGAGAATGGATGATTACTGGCCCCACAGGAGTATGTCTTACACAGAAACATAATAAAAATCTGTGTCTTATAAAGCCTACAATCGATCTGAAAGAGAAAATCCTTAAACTGAAATTTAAAGGTACCATATTTTTTTCTAGCTATACATAAAATAGCTTATTTGACCAGCTATTAAAACTGAGTTACAAATAAATCTGTCTAAAAAAAATAGAATACGATTCAGTACCTTGTATTTGACCAATACAGATTTTTAGTGAATGATTTCTATGCTCACATAGAGAACTTTCATTATGAAAATATTTGGAGCAGAATATGCGAAATAAAATATTAAACTAGGGGTTGCCAGCCCTGAGATCTCGAAAAGGATTGCATAGACATATACAAATATTTTTTCCCACAATCAAATGATAAATACAAATACAATACTTTTTTTTTGTAATTATCCCTATTTCAATTTTAATTTGATACTAACATTTTGTTTTCAAACTTCATAATATTTTGAGAAAAATAGAAACAATAGTTGTTTGTATCTATTAATTTATTTTGAGAAAAAAAATATTTTGCATATAGAGCCACCCTTTTTCGATATCTCAGGATTAGTAACGTCTAAAATCATTTTTTCTGAAATTTTTTTGTAATGAAACATTTTTATGTGAACCTAAAAATTATCTAATAAATGGTTTCGATCCCTTGCTTTATTATCTGAATATTATTTTCACCAACCACCAATAATGCCGACAGTATTAGTGAACAAATAACAAATGAAATACTTACCTAATCAAAATATTTTTTATTTCAAACTTAGGTCAACCTGATTTTGAACTAAATCTAATGGAGCCATCTAATCAAGAAAAAAAAGCATACCTTTGTCAGAGCAAAGTTTGCGGAGACAGAATACAAGGCTGGGACTGTGGTGATGAGGTGTCCGATTGGCTTTCTGAAACTTTACGCACACCAGGATTGCGGCTTTTACACCAATGTCACTTCGATGAAGAAATATCAGGAAGAATTTTAAAAAATGGTAAAATTTCTCAATTTATTAATCAAGTAAATCCCTTCAACAAATATTTTTTTTAGAAACCTCATCTCAACTATCTCTAGCAAACAAGGCACAATATTTATTAATTAATTCAAAAAGTGTTGAATGGTTGATGCAAAAAATTCCAGAGAATGAACTAATTGAGGATAAATATTCTGTTATACAAAGGTTTCGACCAAACTTAGTGGTTAATTTTAGCCAACCATTTCAGGAAAACAAATACGGTGGATTTTTATTCAACGACATTCCATTTCAGGTAGACAGAATTTCTCAAACAAATTAGGAAAAAATCATTTTTGTTATCATTTAAAAAAAATGTTTATTAATAGATACCTACAATACATTTCAATCTCAGTAAGACAAAATTAATATAATCTAATTTAAATATGTTTTAGTCGGCAGGAAAATGTACGAGATGTCAGATGATTTGTATAAACCAGAGTTCTGGAGAAATATCCAAAGAACCTTTACTTACTTTATCCCGTGAATTTAAAGGCAAGATAGCATTTGGAGTATACTTAAACCAAGATATAGCCAACGAAGAAAGAATGATTTCCATTGGATGCAGCATTATAGGGAAAACTACTGAAATGAGTTAAATGGTTATTTATAAGATTGTTACATATGTATTTCAAAATATTTTTAATCTCACTAAAAATGAAAAAAAACTAATAGCTTTATTGAATTGTCCATATTTGCTGTCAAAATTTGATTTTGATACGATCACAAAGGGTGTTTGGTTCAATAACTACAATTTTAAAATGCAGTATTTTGAAAATCATGTATAAAGGAAAAAATTTCATATTAAGATGCATATACAGGGTGATTCAGAACTTTTCCAAAAAAAAATTTTGTAAAAAAATAAAAAACGGCAGTTCGAAAATGATTTAAAAATACACTTCTGCACAGCAGTAGAAACTGATCCACTGTAAAACCTGACCTTACACAAGGCAAAGTATGCGGTCGGCGACCGGCACAGCGGCAAAATGTAATAAAAAATGAACAGACGAAAAATTGAAAGAATTACTGTCCTAAGGAAAGAAATACATACATAAAATTTTATAACACGTATTTTATAAGTATCAGCAAATTCAACTAATTTTGCCGTTATTGTTATTATTAATTAATAAAATTAATTTGTTGGTTTAATTAATAAAATAATTTGACATACCTACCTGATGTTACAACTGTTCCAATTTTGTGTAAACACATTATTTGAGCCCATCTTACCCAGTTTCTATGTTTCTACGAACTAACACAAATGTTGTCTTGCTTCACCATAAATTAAAGCGATATCCATCAACTCTAGTTGTTATACACGTAAGCCATTTTTGACACTTGAAAAACTAATGTAAACACTATAGCAAACATTAACACTAAAATCAGATATCAGCATGTATTCAGACTCGCCTAGGGCTACATGGAGAAATCGCACAATGCAAATGACACTAGAGGCTACACTAGCCCAGTGATGTAAGTTTTGAAAATACTACTTCAATAATTTTTTTCTTGGAAACTATAAGGAATCTACAAAAAAAATTTGTACGATATTGACGCAGCTATTCCCAATTTTTTTTTTTTTGATAAGTTGAGAATTACCCTGTATATTAGAATGTGTAACAAAAGATGATATTTCTGCAGAACAATAAAAAAATGTGTCCGAAACTTACATATATCCAATGACATAAATGCAATATAGTAAGGCATTGATAATGTAATGATAAACTTGTTTTAAAATAAATAAATATTGAAAATAGAAACCACAAACTTTTTTCAAGAAAAATGTAAGAAGGCAAAGCAAATAACTTAAAAAAGTAAACCACAGAATTTTCAACTAAACAATTTTCTTAAAGTTCATATTTCATTTTTTTTTATTTATTTGTAAACAAGTTTGTAATTACATTTAAAGTTATCATATCTGCATTTGTCATTTCATTAACGAAGCTTACTAAAGCGTTAGGTATTACTAGCCGAGAACTTTTTTTTTCTTGGTACAAGGACCATCATTTGCTACTTAACATACCTAACATGGTTCAACATGAGGAATAATATACCTTTACACAAAATCGTTCACGAGTTGAATTTTAAAAATTGGCCTTATTGAAGGAAACATCCCTACATGACCTATCAAACTTAAGGGGTAACGCCACTCTAAAGGTTGGGAAGAAATGTGATTTGTGGGGAATTTACAAGGAAAAATTGATACGAGTTATAGTGTCATGGACAAAAAAGCTTTATTGTACATGTTTTCAAATAGTACTGTAAATTTTTTCAAACAATTTGGATTCAAAGTGGTAGCTGTAATGATGTTAAGCTTTTATTCAGCGGGCTATATGGCCAGAAGGGTGTCTTAGTAACAGATGGTATCGGAACAAAAAAATAAAAAAAATTTTATATCGTATACTAAAAGCGAGGGAACATCGTAGAGAAATTAATAAATATTAATAATTGTTGATTTAGCGATGCTTGCACCATTATAGCTGGCCTTTTATATTCATTTTTTTTTTCTTAAAAATGTGTAAAAATTTCTTAAATACAATAGACATGAAATTGAAACAGAAATTACGTATGCTGAAAATAAAAAACTTCATTAATCCACGTATCTAAGCTAAAATGTAGGGTGCTTTCTGGGCAAAGTGGAACTCCCTATATATTATGTAATATATTATTTTTCAAAGATTACAACTGGTTTCATTATTTTCAAAAACACAGTCTTCAGGGTAATATCTGTCCAGTCCGAAAGACGCAATTCAAATTTTAAATAAATTTAAAACAGCATATTTATTATAAACAAAAGGATTTATTTACACAATAAAAAACATTTATTTGATAAAAAATTAAATAAAATTTCGTTTTTACACACAATTAATTACAATATCTAAAATACCATATATCGTTAATTATAAATCATCTAAATCTACTGCTTCTACTTGTGGAGTTAATTTTTCTACATTCGATAGTTTCTCAATGGAGGTAACAGATTGCTGAACTACTGGATCCCCTAATTTCGTCCAACTTCCTGGTTCAGCTTTCTTTAGTTTTAGTTCCACTTTTGTTCCAAACATGGATACCTCACTATCTTCTACATTTATAATCTGAAAAGATTATTGTAGGTCATAAGCAGATTAATAACAGTGCGTATTGAAACGATTTTAAAAATATTTGATATATGTTAAATATGTACTTGTTCTATCGGCTAATTATTTACTCAGAAGTTGGTCTTACCAACAATCTCTTTTTTTATAGTATTACATACGCATTCATAACTGCTGCATTTTAGACATGCAAAAAGTATCTTTTTTATTGTAAATAAAATGTTAAAAATGTTAAAAATCAAATTTCAAAATCTTTACCAACAAAAAAAAATACAAAATACAAATGACTGGTTTGTTTTAGATCAAAACAGTCATATTCCGCTACCTCCCTTGCCATGTCAAATTTTATTGATATAATTTAAAAGACAAAAAAATATATAAAAGTAATGAAGTTATCAAAAAATATTGAACACAAAATGTTGTATGAAGACATAAAAAGAAAAAGCGTTGTTTTCAGGTAACTTTTGTAGTATGGCCCACATTAAACAATTTTTTATTTGTGGCACTTTATACTACTGAAAAAAGTAAAGAAAAAAAAAGTTACATTTCACTTTCAGTCACAGATGGAAATATATAATTATAAGTATTTTAAACTCGATTTTATTCAATATCTATTGCAATTATCTCTCTAGTCATAAAGAATATTTTTCTTTGCATTGGCAGCAATGATTATTTAACAAGGTAAGTATAATAAGGCCCCCGTCCCGCTTCAACTGTAAAAAATAAATTGTCATCAAAATTGTACCACTCATTAAAATTTGATAGTGGTGTTCTGGATCAAACTGGAACAATATACGGGGTGTCCCAGAATAACATGTACAACTGAAGACCACAGTTTCGTGGACTCAAAAGTGGCAGATTTAGGCTAATTCACCTATAACCGAAATCGCTTCGTTTGGCCGCTAGATGGTATCAAAGTTGGTGAAAATTTTTTGAATTTTATAAATAACTCGAATATGTATTAATCGATTTTGATTATTTTTGGAATGTGAACTTTTACTTTTGATCTACACATTTTGATGTTATACAGTATTTCTTAAAACTTACAACTCCTACAAAATTGATGTATGGCAATAATATCCGTTCATAACGTTTTGTACATTGTAAATAACTCTAATTCGTCGTATGTGTGTATCCGTATCAAAAAATTATGTAACAGGTGGTATATCTTATCGTCGTAAACACTCATTAAGAACTGTCAGGTATGTACAATTACTTAAAGATCAGACTGAAATTACAGTCAACCTACAAAATCAGAGCCTACTAGCACTTTGTTAAGTACAGTATAGACTCTTTAATCCCAACTCACCTTAATCTGAATATCCACTAATCCGGCCCGACAACCCAACGAATGCCCGTTTCGATGGTCCGAACAAAACTCTTTAATTCGAACAAAATTCGGTTTAACGTATATAATTCGGATTATAAAGTCGGACTACATAATAAAACGTAACCGCTAAAAACGTAATTCCCCGATAGTCTCAAGGAAACCCTTTTGTGCGAGTCGGAACCTTTCTCAATTAGATCTTTTTAGTTGAAATATTATTACCAAACAAACATGCCGATATTTATACGACATATTTTACAATAATGTTTGGTTTTATTGCCTTCTTAGTAACACATAAAATCTAATTCATATTATATGTATGTACATAAACATATTTACATATGTACATATTTACTATCCAGTAATCCGAAAATATTGGTAATTCGAACTTATTTCTTTAAGCCCATGTTTTAATTAGTTCGGATTAAAGAGTCTATACTGTATTATAATATGGATGGCACGATAATGAAGATATTTAAAAAATATATTTTTATACCCAAACCTCTCATTCAATCAAAATTTTACAATAGGCCCAAAAACTTCCACATGGTATCACCAACCAGATAAAAAATAGGTGTCATTATTGCCCGAAAGAGGAAAAAGTTATGAACGGATATTATCACCATATATCAATTTTGTAGGAGTTGTAGGTTTTAAAAAACCTACAACCTTTTAAAACCTAAAAAAACTAAGTATAACACTAAAATGTGTAGATTGAAAGCAAAAGTCCACACCCCAAAAATAATCAAAATCGATTGATAGGTATTAGTTATTTACAAAATTCAAAAAATTTTCACCAACTTTGAGGCCATCTTATGACCAAACTAAGTGATTTCAGATATATAGGTGAATTAGCCTAGATCTACCTATTTTGAATCTACGAGTCTGTGGTCTTCCGTACACGTTATTCTGGGACACCCTGTATATCAATATCTATAAAAAATTAAATTTACAAAATTAACCAATTTACTGATCCTTTTAGCGCACGAGGTTATATTTTTTAAATTTCTGTCGAGTATGCCAAAAATACGCAATCAAATTAAAAAAGTAATACAATACTTTAATTTTTAACTAATGATATTGTGGGAAACAACTACTCTAAAAACTACATACTCCATCCAACATTGAATTACACCTCCAAAATTTAGTAAACGGACAAGATCATTTGTCTACTGTAAGTTATGATTAGAGAGCGGACAATGTGTGTCTTTAACACGAAGAATAGGTCAAATTTTGGTAGAGATGTGTACGCGTTCAAAAATGTATTGTGTATAAACTACGCAAAATATAATTATTATTTATAGCAAATATATCGTATTATCCTCGCGAAGATTTGTACCCTTTATTTAAAATCCATAAATCACGTGAACAGGTTAAATAACGAGAAAATAATTAAGTTAATTTAGTTCTAAAGAAATGAAATTACACTCGCGCCCATCTCTATCTAGTCCGTCCGTCGACATCGGTTGCGTTTATCGAATTCCTATTGGTCAGAATTCAAACTGCAGCCCTGTTATGAATGGAGCGTGAGTTGGACTATTGCATCATGTGCGTCGCCTGAGGATATTCGTTACATTGACTCCTAATTTCCAATTAAAAGAACGACACTATTTTTAACCGAACTTTATTTAATAAATATGTAGTATACAATTTCTGATTTTCTAAATATTTTATAACGCCTAAAAATGTATGTACCGTGGAATTTTCGTGAATTATCACGTAAATTTCCGATGCATACCCGACACGCCATTGCGTCATGGATAATGTATCTAGGTTTATGAATGACATATCTATGTTCAAGGTTAAAGACACAAATTGTCCGCTCTCTGGTTATGAAATATAATACTTTGTAGGTTATCCGCACTCAAGTGTTGCACTTTTGCCATCTTAGGTCCAAAAATAAATTTCTAATCAGATTTCCATTACTTACCCCTTTTAGCTCAATATCTAATGCAAAAGTGGCATTAGATTGCTGAGGAAATACTAGGCTAGCGTACAACCTAACTGGATTTAATTTTATTATACTTTCTGATGGAGAATAATGTTTTGCATATATTGCTACAACCACATACGAGCCTGTTTGATGGAAATCCCAACGACATTGGACACTTTTATCTTTCTCCTAAAAACAGTTTGAAATATAATACAGTATAACCTCAATTATCCAGACTAGGTGAGACCTATGGTGATCCTGATAATCGAAAATTTGAGTTACGTATTTTATTTCATTTCAGATCTTTCTATTATGTAGTTCAAAGAAATAAAAATATAATTTAAATAAATATTATGTATAATAGTCAAACATTCTAGAAAAAAACTAAGGTACATAATAAATATATGCTTAAATTACGTACTAGACTAGGCGCGACTGAGTCTTCAATAATATAGTTAAAACTATAGATTTCTACTGGACAAAGTGCAAAATCAATCAATGTAAAAGTTGCTTGAGTAAAATCAGTTCATGCATGCGGACTTTCGTCATCAAGTGATCATCATCAACTAATTCCACAATTGTCCATGCACTAATCTCTTGAAAATGACTCAATAGATTACAATATGTGTAGGCTTGTCGTATATGGATGATTTTGTAATCTACCGATTATCACTGTAACTTATTGGTTCATGCACACATACTTCTGATCATCATTTGCAGACTCCATAATAATACTCTTAGAAATGGAAAAATCCAAATAGAGAGATCTGAATCATCGAAGTCCAGATAATCGAGTATATACTATACAAAAAAATATTTTTTTTAATTTGGATGATCCTACTTTAATAAATTTTAGTAACTTACATCTTTCTTCCAAACATGTGATCCTCTTTCACAACCAACTTGTCCCAAAAAAGTGTTAAAATCAGTAGTTCTCTTTTGACAACAGGACCAAAATTTTAATCCTTCATGAAACACTGGTACACCTGGATGATATATACAATCTGTGTCATTTGTTTCCGGTCCATTGAATGTTTCTTTACAACCCCCATTTTTACACGATGTCCCAATAGCAATTTCATCAGATTTACTTTCCTCTTGTTGCATCAACTTTGGTACATCAGCATTTAACATTTGTTTAAGAGATGGTGCAATCTCTGGTTTCATTGTAACCTAAAAATTATTCTCACATACTTAAAAAAATAATATAAACCCATGTTCAAAATATAATCAAACAATATATAAATTTCATGTGATACGTTACATATGTTAATTTTAATATCTTCACAATAAATGTTAATTAATACACTTAATTACTTACTAACGGAGTGTCAACTGGAGGTCTTTTTAAAACTTTAGCAACTATGGGTTTCACTTCTATAATCTCTTTATCATTTATTTCCTTTGCTACTGGTTTTTCAGGTTCGAGAGGTTTAATATTTGAATGTTTTGACAACGTACAACCTTTGATATTAAGAAATTCTGTAAAATCAGTACATTTCTTGTTACAGCAACTCCATCCTTTATATGCATCATGAAAAACTGGCTGACCAGGGTGATGCCTACAGGAATCTAAAAATAATACATATATAATATCAATAAATTATTGAGTTAATTATTAATATCATAGATAATATGGCTATTTGCCTTATTTTTATTAATTATAGAAAAAACTAAAAATTTCTAGAAATAACATAACCTTACTAACCTTCCTTATTATTAATTGGATCAAATTTTTCGCCACATCCCCTATTGTAACACTGAAGCTGTTGGGTTCCTTCAGTCATTTTCACCTTAATTGATATAATTGAAAAATTAAAATTATATAGGAGTATCTAACTTCAATTGGTAGCAGATCATAGATTACAGAGGTTAACAGATCAACTCGCTCCACAGAGCCACAGACCACACAGCACAGAACAGTTCGTATATGGTCCGTGCAAAACACGTTTTAAGGCTGTGCAAAACCGTACTTATTTTATCAACTTCCACGTCACCTGCTACATGGGTGTTGTATAACAATGAAAAAGTAATATTAACGGTCGGTAGAAGGAAGCACAAAAAACAGGCACTTAGGTAGGAAATTCTGGAAGGAAGCCTAAATAGTTGAAGATAGGCAGTTGAAGTGAGAACAGTGTGGAGATCGGCAGTAAGACGATCGGCGGGCAGTGTGACAAAGTAGTGTAAAATTAAGTGTTTAATCGGTATTAGTTAGCAGGTAATATTCTTTAAGTACTTTGTTGTTAATTGTTCTATGTAATCTTATGATTGTGATGGTTATAGATGTTTCATGATAATAATTCTTTGTATGTTTAGCTTCCATTGCTTTATGCTCAAGGGCATATATTTTTCTAAGGTAAAATTGTTATAATTATTATTAACGATTGCTCATTATTTATTTCATGTTAAAATATGTATATCGTCGTGGGCGCCCCCGACTTTACAATAATGACTCCTTTGTTTTACAGCTAACTTGTTTTTGTAATGATGACGTTGTTCGTAAAATATAGATGTCTCATGATAATAATTCTGTATATGTTTAGCCTTCATTGTCTTACGCTTAGGGGCGTATATTTTTCTAATATAAAATTGTTACAATTATTATTTAAGATTGTTCATTATTTATGACATGTTCAAATATGTATTTTGTCGAGACCGCCCAGATAGTACAATAACGACTTCTTTATTTCACATTTAACTTGTTTTAAACAAGATCAGGTTGTTCTTTGATTTCTTGTGTCCACTTTATGTCACACGTCTATACGAGCCTTGTTGAGTTTACTAACATTTTCGCCCGTGCGGAACGAATCTGGATTAAGCTCGATTGCCTCCCGTATGGGACTCCAGTGTTATGAAGGATCTTCCGAAATCTCAACTATAGCTGGATTGCCTCCCGTATGGGACTCCAGTACCTTCCGGCTCTGCCGGCTAACTAACACCAAACCTCTTCAGTTTTACTTGGAAGTGTGTATGACTAATATGAGGTAACAGATGACATTTAGTGACACATTAAATGAGACAGGTCTTATTTATCATTAGCAAAGGTTCTTAATTTATGCCTTTGGTTAGCGGTTGTTTTGTATTTATATTTGGGTGGTAAGAGCAACGATCGTGGGTTTCTCTGCCATGCTCTTTCCCCACAGGAGCTCTAGGTGAGCCTGGCACTCTCCTTTTATGTTTAATGGTTGTTAATGTTTTTGTTGTTCTTTCTATTTGTCACATGTTTAATTTGAATTGTATGTAAATAAAGGTTAGGTGTATTTTCTCTGCTTTTGTTTTATATAATTAAACCATACATCCCCTCAAAAAAAGTTAGTAGCCAGCGCCTTCCGGTCAATAAAAAAATAAATACACACAACGTAGGGATTCCTTGTGACGATCACATTTTTTTGGCTACAACTACGTTTACTTATTTTTTGTCGAACCTAGGGTTGTTATACTACAAGGCATATGAGTTATAATTAGGGAGATTTTAAGCCACTTATTTGAACAACGTTAAACGTTATCCGTTATACTGATCATGCGCAGTAGATCGAAAATAACCGATAACTTTAATAACCGATAACGTTGTCCGTAATTTAAGTTGGAATAACGTTACGCTAATAAGCGTATCGGTATACACACCATTGCCAAATGTAACAAGTTATCTTATTTACAGGGAAGATATGCTTATTAATTTTGTTAATTATTAATGAATATATTCTATACATACATCATATACGTTTTCTGTTTGCGACTGTAGGTGGTATATTACGTTTTATAAGATATCCGACAAAATTATCTCAATAAAGTATAACTTGGCAACGCTAAATTTTTACGTCTAATCTAATTACTATTTCAATATTATTTTCCAGTGCAGCCATAATAAGTACATGTATTCAGTTCTGTGCATGTAATCAAATACTTGATGTAATTAAAGAGGTAGCGTTTATCGATAACATAAAAGAGGTTTTACGCCTAGAATAATATTAATAATACAGGATATATGTTACGTTTACGGTTAACGGAATTATTAAGGTAAATCCTGTTATAAAAACTGAATTAACGAAATATTTGGGGCCTTATTTTTCATTAACTGCGCATGATCAGTATTACGTTTAACGTATAACGTTCCTTAAATTTTAGGTGGCCTAAAATCTCCCTAATATTTTAGGTTACTACAAAAACACAAGTGACTCAACATAAATGAACACAAGATTACAAGAACACAAGATTACAAGAACAACGAACAGCGTTTAACAAGCTCAATATTTGACATTAATAACCAGGGAGACTAGTTTCCATGTTGATAACACTGAGTTTATGGCATCTGAGATTTGATATTTGATTGGACAATCCTGACAACATTTCAAATGCAAATTACAAATACTTGACATCTAAGAAGAGCGCCAGAAGAAAGGGCCCTAGCCGGCGGGGCCCAGCCAGGACAAAAGGAGGTCCCACAAAGCGCCTACACCGGCCGCATTTGCGGTCGGGGTAGACGACGGATGGGGCCCACCTACGAAGGCTGTCCAGGCCTACACGAGATGAGGCAGGATAAAGAGGGATAATCCCCCTCGATCCCAAATCATTGAGGCCAATTTCTAGCCAT